ATACGGCAGGTTTGAGGAACGGGTACGTCGCCCCCGGCGGGGGAGGGTGCCCGTGCCACATCTCGTACGGCGATTGCTTCTCTGGGATTNTTGAGGAACGGGTACGTCGCCCCCGGCGGGGGAGGGTGCCCGTGCCACATCTCGTACGGCGACTTCTTCTCTGGGTTGGATGTGGTGGAGGTGCAGTTCAGGGCGTTGCATGACCAAGCTATGGCCTCGGCCCAAAGGGATGGGTAGTTCGGTGCTCCGGGGTAAAGAGTTGGCGCTTGGATACGGGCGGCTAGTGCTGTATCCTTGATCAGACCCAGTGCTCTCTCAGCTACACCGTTGTATTCAGGGCTGTGTGCGGGGGTGAACTCCTGTTTGATGCAGTACTTCCGGCACATCTTGCCGAACTCTCCCTAAAAAAACTCTCCTCCATTCTCGGATCTCACGACCATGACAGCGGACGGGGCTGTCTGCCCGGTTTTCTGCAAGGTACCTCTCGAATGCCTCAGCGGCGTCTGATTTGTGCTTCAGGAAATAGACACGGTTCCACCTTGTGTAGTCATCCTTGACAATGAGAGTGTACCACTTCCCCCCCAAGCTCTGCACCCTAGCTTTTCCACTCAGATCCACGAAAACTCGCTGCAGTTTCCTATCTGCTCGGGTCGACGTCTTGTTGGGGATGGGTTTAGAAAGCCCCTTCGCCGTCGAGCACCCCAGGAACTGCCGGAGCTCGCCCACTAGCGTCGTCCCCTGCTGCTTCGCCGTGGTCCTCAGCAGCACCTCGTGGGAGTGGCCATGCGCGCAGTTGAAGTCGTTGATGTCAACGGGGGTGCTGGACACTTTCGCGTTGCCAGGAGCAGTTGCGGCACAGGCGTGTTCGGTGTGTGTGCGGAAACCGTTTTGGACGTACAGGTTACCGCATCGGGGGAAGTACACCAACCCACCCCCCCCTCTCTCCAACTCCAACTCGTGTTTATTGAAGGTTTCGGTTTCGAACCCGTCGTCGAAGAGCGAGNCTTCGCCGTGGTCCTCAGCAGCACCTCGTGGGAGTGGCCATGCGCGCAGTTGAAGTCGTTGATGTCAACGGGGGTGCTGGACACTTTCGCGTTGCCAGGAGCAGNACTAGGTTGTAGTCTAGTCGGGGAACGTGTGCAACCCGTTTCAGCAACAGCTAGGTTGTACCGTCGCGCGAGCTAAGGGTTACCGTCACGTCGCCATACCCTACGATAGGGAAGGTTTCTCCGGCGGCGACGCGCGCACGTCGATCACACTCTTCGTAACGAACGAACCCATCTGGGTTGGCGAACATGTGGGTGGTAGCGCCCGTATTGGCAACATACCTACGCCGCCTAGCCTGCTCTACACCCCCTCGACCAACGACTTTGTGACACTCGCCTGAGATGCAACCGACCACCAGGGCTTCTCCTGCCACGTCCAGTGCTGTGGCGTCCGCAGACGCCCCGCCAGCCGGCACTTCCACCACAAGCACCGCCTTCTCGGTCCGGCACTTTCTCTTGTCGTGCCCGTAGCCCTTGCATGT